GTATGTATGGATGGATGTTTGTTACTCTTTCACGCAAATACTACTGAATGGATTTTAATGAAACTTTACAATAATATAGCTTATACATCAGAATACGACACAGGCTATAATTTATATACGTATAATAATTATAATAATAATACTGCTGCCTCCCTTAACTGGCTACGTTTCGGTGACCTCTTTGGGATGACTGCGCTAGTCTCTATTTGGACCGGGTCCATCATCACGGACAGGACGATTCTTTCAAACAAACTTGATATCGCGGTGATGGACCGGGCACAGTCGCGGGCGGGTATTTTTGGTCGACATTATCCCATCCCATATGACGAAAACCTCGTGAAAGCCGAAACAGATAAGAAGACAAAGTATCTGGCTCACGAGGTGACCGACATGTGGGGTCTTGTGCCGACCGAAATTATCCCGATAGTCGTTTCTGCCAATGGGTTAATCCCAGTCAGCCTCTCCAAACATCTGAGGCGACTGGGACTCCGGGATGCATCGCTCCAAGCTCGAATGCAGAAGGCGGTGCTCCTCGATACCGCCCGCATAGTCCGCCGGTTTCTCTCCCTTTCGCACGGCCGTTTCGTCTCCCATGCCGAGGGCTTCCGTCTGGTTATTTATATATATATTCATAAGAACGAATTTATGTGAATAAAGATATTTTATTATTATGGGGGATATTCATTTGTTTTCTCGTCTGGTTGGGTTTATAAATAGAAATATATATATATATATATATATATATATATATATATATATATATATATATATATTTATAAACATTTGTACATGAACCAAAGGAATTGGTGGCTTGACGCCTGGCTGTTAGATAAGACAAGCACAGCATGATCGGTTCAATCCGGAAACCAGGGATATCTAGCTACAGAAAGAAGTGACTCTGAAATACTTAAAAGATTACTTTGAGTATCTCACCGTATCCCATAAAAGGTTCCTTCGTTCTTCTGTCAATCTCTCTCTCCAAACAATCCCGTACATTCCTCTTTCTTCTTCAAAAATTCTTTTACAGCGACAGCTGTGCGTTTGTGGAATTATGCCCCTTCACATTCGACAAGCTAAGAGAGCAGAGGAAGGTGTACATGAATCACTAAGAAACACTAGAGGAAGGCATTTATAAGTCAATAGAAAAGGCAAAAATTGCGGGAAAAATATGAAAAAAGAAAGCACGAATTTACAGTTCTAAGTAATAGATCTAGAGCTTTCACTAGGTTTTTAAAAGAAAGAAGGAACCGCCTTTTGTACTTTCTTTTACAATAATTTGTTATTTTTACTTTTTATGTTTTTGGTGTAAAATAAAGGTTAAATAAATAAAGTAAGATTTTGTCCCCCTCGTAACGTAATGAACTTCATGCGTCAAAGGGAACTCATAATATTAATCTCTCATACACTCACATATTAATGTGTCATACTTATGCCCGGTGTGCATATAATTATGTCAAAAGGCTATCTTTTTGAGGCTTAGTAAGCTAATACCTTAAACTAAAACAGAGTAGTGTTTAAACAAACAGGTAACAGTTTCAATAACAAAGTCATATAAATAACAATAACAATTTTAAACGTTAACTTTCCATTAGCGAATCTACATCTAAAATCATTCTTATCTCGTTTCATTACTCATATTTTATTTTTACTCATTCATAAAAAAGAGGTTATGCCTCTAGTTTATGTATGAATGAAAATAAACGTTATGCCATTGTTACAGGTTATTCTAGAATTATAACAGTTTCAAATTATAGCATTGGGCGATTAAGATAAATCTCCAAGAAATAATTTGCAACCTGAATATAGGATAAATTGATTTAAAATAAAGTTAGAAGCACTACTCGCACTTACTCGCTTCCTGAAATTGTTTTCACTCATAAAGTTTCTTCGTCTAACTTTAGGGCTCTAATTGTAGGTCTCGCAGATGTTACCTCCCCATAAATCACGTCGTAAGTGGAGATTGAGTTATTTTAATGGTTTATATTAAAATAAGTGAATCGTTAAATAAATATTATGAACTGTGGTATAACTTTAGTTATTTGGTTGAAATAGGTTTAAGGGACAAATACGTTTTTGTCTTTTAATAAAATAAGTTTATCATAAATATTTCGTAAGAGATTTAATAACATAATTAAAATATAATTCTAATTCTATTTAGAAACAACGAAAATTTGGACGGACAACTCTGCTTAGTCATTAAGGAAGCCACAAGGTAAAACACAGCATTAAGTACCTACTCACAATAAATAGTTTAGCCGATTCATAAACTAAATATTTATGTTTCACTTTTTTTTTATTAGACTTGCAAAAAAACGTGAAGAGCTTTAATTTCAATTCAGAAGTTTACTACAAGGGGCTACAAACGTTGAATGGCTTGGTTTAAGTTTTAAAATTTGCTTCATTTGAATAAGTTGGGGCTGCTTTGCAGAATGAGCTCTTACTATTTTGAATGTAACGTTAAAAAAAATTAAAGGTCTGTGATAATTTGTTTATGTTAACGTTCTGTATTTTAAAACAAAGACTTTTTTTGTTATTATAGTTATGTTTTAATATATACCAATATTCTAGTATATATAGTTTTCCATTATAAAATAGGTTGGGGAAAAAGTTTCTTCGCATTTTATATGAAAATTCAAAACATTTTTTAATAAAGTATTTACATTTAAATAAAGTATGTAGCTGAAATTTTGTTCGATAATTTTCTGCCATCTTGTAGGTAGGGACATGATCCCATTGCTATAGAAATTCTGGGGCTTTTGATCAAAAAACCGTCACAAGTGGTTTGGGCAGACCTCTCGTGATGTTAACCTGACACTGCCTAAAGAATTCTGAAGAAACCGAAACAAGTAGAAATCTAAAGGTGCAAGGTCAGGACTATACGCGGATGCATTAACACCTCCCAGTCAAACTATCTTAATTTTTGCTGAGTGGCTAAAGACATGTGAGATCAAGCGTTATCATGACGAAAAACCCCTTCTGCTGATTAATTTCGGCCGCGTTCTCTCAACTTCTTGCTTGTTCTCATCTCATCAGTTGTTCGCAGTAGAGTTCATAATCGATGGTCCTGCCTGGCGGTAACAGCTCATAATGAATAATGCTCTTCCAATCCCACCATACACACAGCATTACCTTGTTGCGAGATAGCACGGGTTTTGCCAGAGTCTGTGAAGCCTGACCAGCCTTTGACCACGACCTTTTTTGCACATTCTTGTCGTTCGTGATCCACTTTTCATCCCCAGTTATCAGGTTTTTCAAAAATGGTTCGGTTTCATTAGGGCGTAATAAAGAATCACAAATGACTACACGGTTCATTTGGTTTCTTTCAGTGAGCTCATGAGGCATCCAAATATCGAGCTTTTTTGTGTACCCAGCTTTTTTCAAATGCGCCTAAACTGTTTTGTGGTCAATTCCCAGTTCTTCAGCTACATCGAAACTACTGATATGCTGATCTTGCTCCACTTTTTCAAAAATGGCATCCACTTTATCCGTAACAGGGCGCCCAGAGCGAGGTGCATCTTTGACATCAAAATTTCCGGATTGAAAACACTTAACCAAATTTGTGCTACTCTCACAGACTCACTAGGACCATAAATATAGTAAATTTTTTTCGCGGCTTGTGTTGCAATTTTACCTTTTGGTAGTAAAATTGTAAAATGTATCGAATTTCTTAGACCTTAACAGTAAGAAAAACAACAATATATATATATAATTTATGAAACATTTTTGTTTGTCAAAGTATATTCACATTTTTTCATTCGCTGGAAACATTGTCTTAAGCAATACAGTAGGCAATAGCTTCAACGTTTTAACCACTGAATCTTGACGTGTAGAATTTTTATGTCCGGTTAAAAGCATATCTAAATTTTGTCACCTTTCACGACATTGTACATAGACAATTTCTATAAAAATATATAAAAAAGTTGAACTTTTTCATAATTTTAACTGCACAAACAAGCTGTGTCCATCGACTGCATAGCTTCCGAACTTCCAGACACACGTAAAAATTTGTACTCTTCTTGTACTATTAATTATTTGCATAAAATATAAAACAAAATTTTATTTAATATAACAAAGCAGATAAGACGTAAAAAAGTCGCGCGGAGAGAAGGGGCAGATTCAAATATTGGCAGCTGCGAAATATTATCGACAATACGTCGTTAGTGTAAATACACAGTTTAAGCGCAAATGTTGGCTCTAAAAATAAAATTTTGATTTAAATAACAAAAGCGATATCTCTCTAGTTTTCAAATATCGTTGAAAAATGTTATTTAAGACTTTTAGAGTTTGCTGTAAAGCATTCTAATAATCGCTGTGAAACTATCAACCATATACCGCTTAGTGGCTAGAGGTGCAGGTTTGTAGCCTATAATTTTGTCTTGAACTTGGCCAATGCGCAATATGCACTCAGTTTTAATTCAATATATTAACTATAATATCAAATTAATAGGGACATTGACTAGTTTCTTTTTTCCCTGATAAGCCTCAAAGATTAATCACATCTCAAAATATTATAATGATAATGAATAAGAAACGTTTAAAGATTCATCCTAAAGGAAGGAAACGACTCTGGTGTTGCGAGTGTTCATGCGCGGCGGAGATCACCAGGTGTCGGCATGCTCGTTTGCCTCCTATTAAAAAAAGTTTATTATGTAATCTAAAAACCTATTAACGATTGAAAAAATTAAAATAATTAAATTTTTCTACTTCCGTTTGTTTATATTGAACATTTCAACTGTTTTACCATCACGGTTCATGAAATACAGCCTGGTGACAGACGGACAGATAGACAGACAACGGAGTCTTAGTAATAGGGTCTCGCTTAACCCTTGGGGTACGGAACCCTAAAAATTAAGTATCAATGTAAAGAAAAATCACCTAAGATAGTAAAACAAATATCTAACGCAATTAAATCCGTAAAGTAGTTTCATTTCACAAAAAAAATGTATTAAAGTGATACTATAACAATAAATGCAATAATATTATAAAAAATATGACTATTAAACTACATATGCTACACCCTTTCTTTCTTTCTGGTCATGTTCATCATCTCTGATGATCGTGGGTGGCGGTCGTCGTTCTAGCACGAACGAGATCTCTCCATGATTCAGCGGTCCTAACCACATCGCAGAAATTCGGATACGGTTCTGTGTCCTTGAGCTGGTCAGTACATCGTGCTGGAGATCAGCCACGTGACCTTCAGTGTTTCCAACAACGATCAATCTTTCCAAGCTTTCATCTCCTCTTCTCATTATGTGGCCAAAGTAACTTAGGAACCGTTGCTCACAGATTGTGGACATCGCGTCTTAATGTTGAGCTCCAACAGTATGGACTGATTGGTGCGTCTGGCTCTCCATGGTTCACATCTCAAAGGCATCTCTACAAGTGTAGTAAATATAAAGACACGAGTTACTAACGATGCGAATTTCTGTCAACTTAAAAATATGTAGTTTCAGTACTTTACCATTATCTGCGGTCATTTCCACCCACCAGGAACCCATTCCGGTGACATGCTTGCGTTTTTTTAGTTTTCTTAAAAGCCAAAATGATTGTCTTAAAATTTATGTCCATCATTAAAACTTAATGCATTTTGGTGAAACATGTTTAGCGTTAGTAAACTCTGCCTCGGAAATATTACGAATAGCTACGAGTTACTATTTTGTTACAAGATACTTTATTTTTATGTTGAATGTTACTTAATAATAATAGTCAAGTTCATTCATAATAGTCAAGTTATCTAACAGAAATAACACTCCGATTCGATGCAAGTACACGTTTTTTAAATAAAAATGTAACATATAACAACAAACCACGCCATAAATCAGTTTAATCACATATAATAAACCACTTTTATCCAATTGGACTGTGTTACACAAGATTGAGCTAACAAACCTTTTTTAATGGTACTCTACAATAAACAATTGTTACTATTAATATACTCAATAGAAGACCGCGTACAACGTCTTGTATAGTTATTCTTAATTATAAAAAGTCGTGACCTCTCCATAGACAAACTTAATAACGTTGAGGCACGCTATAGTGTTTCAACATAAGCATCAAATTGCTGTTTACAGAAAGCTTATAAGGGAATCTGCGTTAAAACTCTATTTTTCTTTTGCTGAGTGTGAGTACTGGCCAGTTTATCATAGCAATGACAAGTTTTCTCAGAAAATAGATGTAATACCAACGGTTATAAAATATAATATTGAAATCATAGATTAAAGATATTCCGAGTTCAAAATGTATATAAGTATATGTTATATATTATAGAGCCGTGATAGCTCATTGTCCGGGCATTCGCCTTTAATTCAATATACTCTGGCAACCTGAGTTCGATCCCCGGTGCCGGCACCAATGAAGTTTTTAACTTTAAGTGCTGACTTATCACGTGCTCCGCGGTGAAGGAAAACATCGTGAGGAAACCTGCATATTTTCGAAATAATAACAAAAAAATATTTCGAAGATATGTGAAGTCCGCCAATCCGCAGTGGGGCCGCGTGGTGGACTATGCCCTGATACCCTCTGTATAGAGGAGGCCTTTTCCCAGCAGTGGGACATGTGTAGGCTGTTACTTTACTTTACTTTTTTTATATATTATAAACATATTGATATATTATGTATGTTAATATGAGTGATCTGTGTATTGGAGTGTGATGCGCCTAAATAAAGAGACATATATATTTATATATTTACGCTTTTGACAAAATACTCTCGTAATTTTGCGAAGGTGGGTAAAATTGGTAGGTACTTATTCCAAATTGATATGATAAATTCTTCACATAAGCCTGGTGTGTTGGGGAATGTTAATCTATTCTAGTTATTCTTAACAGGTTTTAATTAATCAATCAAATTAATCATAATATATAATTAAATTTCCAACTACAATTTTTATACGTCTACAGTAAATTCCATCTTAAGAATTTACGGAATAAGAGTTATTGCATCGTTACGTCACACAAAGACACGCTTTCTTTTTTGAGTACTCTACAGAGTGTAAACTGCTAATGCGACGTAAAGGAGTTTTTATTGCTCTCTGAGTTATCGTAAAGCTTGTCATTAAAGGTTGAAAAAAGTAAAAATAATTAGGAAATATTCAAAAGTAAATAATAAATAAAAGTTCTTATACATGCTCTTTATTTATGAAAAAGAGTAAATACTTATTACTTCAATAGATATCAGAAAAAAAATTTGAGAAATTATTGCATTACATTACATTATACTACTATCTATTTATAAATTTAGAATTAAATATTGATATTTTTTAAATTCAATAATAGCAATATTTTAATATCTCTGTAAGGAGACTAGGTTTGAATGTCAACTAATAAGTAATCTGCTAGCTTAAGCTTGTATGCGTTCGACATCTGATTATAATTAATCACATTTGGTAACTGGCAGCCTCTCGGGCTGATGTTATGTTATGACAGCTAAAACGATTTAGTATATATTTTCTTTATAAAGATGTTAACAGATGTAGTTTGAGCGATTTTATATACTGTATAAAGAATTTTGATCATAACTGAATGTACCTCTTAATATTTTTACTTTTATATATATTAAAATGTTGATACTACTTGGATGGCTTCAGCGCGGGGGTCGTGGGTTCGATTAACACATAGGACAAGTTTTTGTGTGATCAACAGATAATTGTTCGGGATCTGGGTGTTTGTTCCAAAGGAGGGTTGGTCATAGAAACTTAGCCAAAACCACTTATAACATGATTCAGATGTTGTTCCGACCCAACCTATCTCTCACTACCTACCACAATCTTCTCCACGCCCCACGTTGACTAGGAAAGTTTGTAATCCTTGTAATAATGTAAGGTTTTGCAATAAAGCATAAATAATAAATAAAATAAAACCTAGGTGGGATAAGGGCAGGGGAATGATAATGATAATAAAAAATGTTAATATTGATACGGAGAAACGTATTTTTACGAGATTAAATTTTTAACAGTTATAAGGTTGCAAAAATGAGCCGATCAATTATCAGGAAACTTTGAATGATTTCTTTTGTTTACGCGAATTCTACACATTGTTTAATAAAAGTAATTTATAATTTTTCTTCGTTTTATTTTCATTTTTTTTTTATTTACTTCAGTCAGGGCTGGGGCAGCATCGGAGGCAGCTGAAGTAAGTAAATGGCGCAAATATGAGTCTTTGTGCTTAGATTATGTATTTGTGCCATTTGTTGTTAAAAATTTAGGTCCGTGGGGTCCCCACATCTTGTTGTAAAATGCTCTCGCGCAGTGGCCTAGAGTATAGTTGCGCCGGTTGGAATCCAAAGTACAATGTTTACGTGAAAAGACTGGAAAGCATCCAAAAAAGGTTTCTGTGGCACCTGGCATACTCATGTAATTTGGGGAAAAACATTAAGTCATACCCCGATAGAATAAAACATTTTGGAATGAGTTCCCTGAGCGATAGAAGGAAAATGCTTGAAATTCTCTTCTTGCATAAGCTTGCCAATGGCATTATCGATGCTCCTGACCTGCTCTCCCTCTTAAAGCTTTACCATTCCCTCGAAGCTGCCTCGACCCTCTAGATTCAATATCTTCTCAGACTGTTTATGCAAATCGAACCTTGGACAGCAAATGCCTTTAAACAGAATGGTTAGGAATTACAATAACATCTCGAGAACTTCCAAGACTGACTTGTTTTCAGATAGCGTCACCAAGCTAAAGAAGGAATTGCCGAAATTGTTTTCCAAAAATACCTAATTACTTTTACAATCACATATTGTTTTTATTTATTTTTAACTGTTTCTCTGTCAAGCAGATTTCTTGATCTCCCGCTTACTTGTAAAAACTTGAAATAGTCTTATTAGTGTGTTTTTTTACTGTTGCTTCCATTCTCAATTTTATTTATAATTATTAACTGTTGTTGCACCTTTGCATTTTGTAATAAACAGCTGTTTTGTTAAACATTTTTTTTATAATTGTAACGACACTAACGAATAGTTGATGTATATTTAATTTCTTAGTCATAAATAGTGTACATTATGTTGGCGTTCATTAAATAAATAAATAAATTAATTAATTAGCACTGCATCTGGACCCAGATCTAATCGAATAGTTCTGGAATTATAAAGAAGAGAGAGCCTCTTTTACAATGGAAACATACGATACAGTGAAAACATGAAGTACTTTATGAAGGAAAGTTTAGAAATTATGTTCTAAAAAAACACGTCCTATTGCAAAATGGCTTTTATCGAAAATTGGTTTATTTTGTCTTTAAAGTAAGTAAAATTTAATGGCCTTTTATTGCTGACTTTCGCAGTTGCGTTTTGAGTTATTTATGGTGGCCAGTAAATTTTTCTTCAGGATGTTCATCTCGGTCCAAACAATTTCACACTAAAAATTGCTTGTGAACGCTTTGTGGGGTTATTTATCTCTTGACGTCCCACATTTATTTTAATCGCTCTATAATTTATTACTCCACAACAAGAGTAGAGGAGTTTGTACTTAGCAACAATATGCTAGGTATTAATTTTAATTTTATTAATCGTATTAAGCTACAATATAACGCAATGATTATTAAAAATATAAAAATTCAATTATAAATTATTGAGTCCTTATAACGTTGCATAATATATAAGGGTTAATTAAAATAATAATAGTAGAATATAAGATTTTAATGTTTTAAGAAGATGAAACAAACTTACAATTGTCCTTTCATTTAATCAACTATGTTTATTAAATTAAGATACATGTGAAGCTCTACTTATTATTTATAAAATACCGTCTCCTTCTCTTCCGAGATGGTAGAGAGAGAGAGAGAGAGAGAGATGGGGTTTAACGGGGGTTTTTATCTACAAAGATACACCAACTCCATTGTAACTTATAAAATTCACAACAACTTACGATTCGACTTCCTATTTTCTATTTTATATAAATCCATCATTTAAAGGATTATTTAAATGATGGATTTATATAAAATAGGAATTACCGTTTGTTGACTTGAACATGGTCGAAAATACGTTATTTCGGTTGACTTCCTTTACCTGAACTCTGTTAGATTGTAGCAGAAAGCCGCCAATACTATGGTATATCAGCTAAGTTCTTTAGGTATATTTCGATTGTATAATTTTATACACTAATTTTGTAGCGAAGTAAAAATGTAAACATTTTAACTTATATACATAAAATCGGAAACTTACTAACTAAACAATTACAAATGGCACTTTATTTAATTGATAATTCTATTGTCTTATAAATCTTGGCTGTCTTACAACCGACGTGACCCCATTGTTT